CCGCTGAGGGGCCAGGGACCAGGGACCAGGGACCAGCATGACAACTTTTGACCCAGCATTTCCACTGTATTAGCTGTTAGGATTTAGAGGCAATTTCGCGGACTCGGGAGGGTGTACGTAGGCTGTTTGCAAACACTGCCTCATTTTAAATGAGGGACTTGAGCATCCTCAGGTTCTGTATCTATGAGAGTCCTGGAGCCACTCTCCTACAGCTACCAAGGGACGACTTTATTGTAGTGACAATCCACAGGTGACTCCCAAGTTCTCCAGTTGAAGCGGCACCGGCATGGCCCAGGAGCAATGCTCCTAGTTCTTCTGGCCTGCTTTCCATAGTCCCCCAAGTTGAGTCCCCTCCTCTGTCCAGAGGAGACTCCAACAGAGTCATGTGAACAGCAGAGTGGGCTGGTGACAGTAAATGGGCAGGCCTGCTTCTAATTATCACTGTAGACAAGTCATGAGCTGTCTGAGCCTGGGCTTCCTGTGGTCACCAAGAGAGTATGTTTATAAAGGAACTCCATGGTGTCCCCAGTCACTAGCCAGCTAGCAGGAGAAGTAGGAGGTGGGAAGGTGTCAGACCCACGAGGTACCCTCTTGGGGCACAGGCTAAGCTGGGGGGCTCCATACAGAGAAAAGATGAAAGGTGAAAGAACTGTCCACACTGGGTCTGAAGAGCCAGAGCTGCCCTTCAGCCCCGTTGATACAGCCACCTTCTGCTCTTAGGTCTCCTTTGCCATCCTCTCCAATGCAGCCACATTGGACAGCCAACCTGGTATGGCTGGAGCCCTGCAGGCTGTCCACATGGGAGAGGAGGCTGGAGGAGAGGTTTGGACACTTGCACAGGACATGGACTGGGGTGCTCTTAGGGCCATCCCTGCCCTGGCAGCTGGGCCACTGGGCTGTTGGAGGCCTGGAGCAGGCCTGCTTGATCTTCTCACTGTGACGGTGACAAGCAGGTGCCTGGCTCTGCCACTATCTAGCTGTGCACTGTGCTAGTTCTCTAATGGTGCTTAGCAAGTCACCCAACACTGAGTGGTTCAAACAGTGTCCATATTTATTTCTCTCATGCACCTGCAATCAACCTGGGGAGAGCAGGGCAGGAATGGCATAGTGAAGGCAGGGGCTAGAGTTTCAGGAAAGTTTGTTCAGGGGAACTGTCTGTTGACAATGCTGGGGTTCCCTGGGCATGTCTCTGTATAGCCTCTCCCTATCCATGGTGTCTCTAGCATGGTGGCTTCTGGGTGGCTGAACTTACATTCCTTACTCTCAGGATTCTGCTGGGAGTGATGGTGCCTGCTTGTCATCCCAGCAACTAGGGAGGCTGGAACAAGTGGACAAGTGGATCACAAGCTCAAGGTCAGCCTGGGCAATTTAGTAAGGTCCTGACTCAAAACAATAAATAAAAAGGGCTGAGTTCATAGCATAGTCGTAGAGCACCCCTGGATTCAATCCACAGAATTGGGGAAAAAAAAAAAGGCCCTCAGGATTTCAGCTCCAGAGCAGAAGTCACATGGGCAGCCGGATGCGAGGGGATTTAGAGTTCATCTTTTTGAGAGGAGAGTTTAAACTAATTTAAAAATCATCAGAGGAACTTTGGGCAAATGCCTTCAAATCTCTATGCTCCCATTCTTTGTTTGTTTTGTTTTTGTTTTTTCATTTGTAAAACTCAGATAAATGCAGCACCCCTCCTGACTGAGCAGCTTTCTCTGGCTGATGAACAAAGTCATCAACTTCATGGTTCAAAACAACACAAATTTATTAGCTCACAGTTTTGCAGTTCCAAAGTCCAACGTGGGTTTCCCTGGGATAAAATTAAGGTGCCCAGGGCTGGAGTCCTCGGGACTCTGGGGGAGAAGCCACTTCCTTGCCCTTTCCAGCTTCCAGAGGCTGCCTGACACCTCTTGGTCCCTTCCTCCATCCTCAAGGCCAGCAACGTGCGAGTTCTTCTTAGAAGGAATCTCGCTGATCTCCACAATAAGGATTTTTCCATTGTGTTGGTCCCACCTGGATAATTCAAAAGTTTTCCTTTTTTAAAAGTCATATGATTAGAGATCTAAGTTCTACCCATGATTTTAATTCCTTGCCGCAGCCCGCCTGGCTGGGCAAAATAACCGGGGGGGGGGGGGGGGGGGGGGGGGGTGGGGTGTGACGAGCAACTTGTGTAGATTGATACAGCAGGAGTAGGAGCCGTTTATTGTAGGACAGGAGTGGTATTTATACATTCCACACAGCTTATCTTAATTAGCATAAACTAGATACATCAGTCAACCAATAAGGAATCTCCACATTCAATGGCTTGCTTTCGTTACTTCTCAAACCACTCCCTCTGGCATTTTGCCAGGCACCATCCAGACTTGTTTACAGACTCTAACATTTCTCTGGCAAAATGCCAGGAGCCATCCTGACTTGTTTACAGACTCTAACAATTCCTTTTGCCATGGAACATATTTTCAGATTCTGGGGATTAGGGCATACCTATCTTTGGGAGGCCATTATTCTACCTGCCACAGTAGGGTTGTTGAGGATATCAAAAGATGTGACCATTGAGCATGGTGGCGCTTGTCTGTTATCCCAGCAACCCAGGAGGCTGAGGCAGGAGGATCAAATGTTAGAGGTCAGCCTCAGCAATTTAGTAAGACCCTCAGCAACTTAATGAGGCCCTGTCTCATAATTTTAAAAAAGGACTGGGGATGTGGCTCAGTGGTAAACTGCCTCTGGGTTCCATCCCCAGTGGGTGCACATGCACACACACACACATGCACACACACACACAAAGGTGATCTAGGTGATACATCTTGATATATGCCAGCACATGGGAAACAGTAAATACCAGCCACTGCCCTTATGCATCTGAGCCACTGGACAAGTCCCTTTGGCACTGCCTGGCATGGCATATAACAAGGGACCTGGTCCAATCTCTTCCTAGATATGTTTGAAGCTCAGAGATGGATGATGATTTGCCCAAGGTCACACAGCAAGTGGAGGTAGGGCTGCTCCCTGCCAGCCCCCTAACTGTAGCAAGTTGCCCCCCATCTACCTGGAGGACCCAGGATGAATAAGTGTGGGGCCTGTGTCTTCCTGGGCAGATCCTGTCTATCCTGAAAGGCAAGCTGGTGGTGGGTCATGACCTGAAGCATGACTTCAAGGCCCTGAAGGAGGACATGAGCAGCTACACCATCTATGACACATCCACAGACAGGCTGCTGTGGCACGAGGCCAAGTTGGACCACTGCATGCGGGTCTCCCTGCGGGTGCTGAGCGAACGTCTCCTCCACAGGCTCATCCAGGTGAGGACTCCTCCTGCTCCTCAGGGTGGGGCCACCCAGGACAAGCCAGGCAGCCTGTCTGAGGCGTTGCTCCAAGGGCAGGGCCTCTCCGTCCAGGACTGTGGACAGGATGGCTTCAGTACAAATATTTACCCCCAAGACTCTGTTCCCTCTACTCCTGAGAGGTGTGTGCTTGTGAGAGGGGGAGAGTGTTTTGTTTGGGCTTCCGGAAGCAAGGATGGGGTTGCTAGAGTTTGACTTGAGAGGTGGCCCGGGAGGTGCTGGGAGATTGCGAATGAGGCAGGGGCAGGGGGGTACCCAACAGGCATTTGCTTTTGCTGGTTCAAATCAAGCCAGTTTCCCTGTGGGCAACGAAGCTTATGCCACCACAGAACTCTGGGAAATGGTGTCAGGCCATCACCTCTGATGTACCCCAGGGTGGGGTTCAGGAGTTGGGGTACTTACCCCCCAGTTCCCATCAGGCATTGCTCCAATTCCCCAGCCTTTCTGGCTGGTGGGCAAAGCTGGCCCCAGCAAAGCCAGCAGGTGAAGCCACGCGGATGTGGGGTGGGAATTCCTGGAGGGAGGGGCTCAGGGAGACCGCCAGATGCTAACAGCCAGCTGCACACCCTGGGGCCCTCCATCCAGGTCAGCAACTCTTTATGGAGCACATACTCCTTGCCAGATGCAAGGGACGCAGGGGTGAGCAAGACCTGGCTCTGTCCCAGAGGCACCCTTGGTTGGAGGGGAGGTGGCACCGAGCCCAATCATCAGCCCACAATGCGAGGAACACCCGGTGGAAGGAAGAACAGTCCTCTGGGAGCAGGAAGGAAGGGTGGGACTGGCCGGCCGGAGACCAGGTGTGGACAGAGTTGGATGAGTCCTAGTCTCAGAGAACAGGAGCGTAGGGCGTGAACCAGGCCCGAGATGGAGACTGCTTGGCTGGGTGTGGGAGCACAGAGCCCTCGCCCTCCTTGCAGGAATTGGGTTGCAAGCAGGGGTGGGCTTCTCATTAGCTCCATGGCACCCAAGGACCAACCCTGGTGGCTCTGGCTGGCAGAGGGGTGCCGTCCACACGTGGGTATTAGGTGTACTCTGTGGATCTCTGCGCACCTGCTCCGGTGCCACGCGCTGTGCCTGTCAGTCTGAACCTGACCCTAACCCTGTCTCAGGCTCTGTCTGCTTGTCCCTGGGCTCATGAAGCCTGGTTGTTCCCCAGACTCAGCCAGCTCCCGCCTGCACCGATGCCTCCTCTCCCCCACCAGATGTTAGGTGGTAGGGCATAGCCTGATTCTCAGGATGCTGGGTTTTGTCTTGGAATGCCTGGGCCTAGTGCCCGGTGATTCCAGAGGGTGAAGCCAGGCCAGTTCCTGTCACCCACTGACACTCTTCCAAACCCAGGGAGTCAGAGGCTCAGGGAGACTCACCACAGATCACCCCAGGAATTGGGATGTTGGGGTGTGACACTGGGACCCCAAGTCCTCACTGTGTGCCTCTGTCTTCAGAACAACCATCTGGGACACAGCTCAGTGGAAGATGCGCGGGCAGCGATGGAACTCTACAAGATCTCCCAGGGAATCCGAGCTCGCAAAGGGTTGCCCCGCGTGGCTGTGCCATACTGAAGCTCCACCAGTCCCCTCCCCAGAGGCTTTCTTATCTTCAAGATGGCATCTCTTGCTTTTGGAAAATGCATCTTTGGCAGTAAAATGGCTGTATATTTTGTCTATTCCATGAGTGGATCCTGTTCTTTCTCACGTCTCTCTGAGCCAGGTTAACTGTGCCAGGACCCAGGCTGGGCGCTGTTCGGAGGGAATGAAGACACGTGTCCTGCATGTGGACAAGGGTCAAAATCCGTCATACTTTCAATCCTGGGTATCAAGAAGCCACCTGGGAATCTAAGTGACCTGTGCCTCAGTGGATTCCTCTACTCCCTATTCCCATTCAGTTTGTAAGTAGAGGGGTAGCATTCTTTCCTGAGGTGGCACCTTGCTCAGGGATCCAGGATCCACCTGTCTCATCTGGAGACTAGATCCACAGCTTTGAAGCAAAGGTTCCATAAGTGCTAAGGGTGCCACCCTGCGTCTCCTTTGTAAGACAAGGAAGTGAAGGTAGTGAACTCTGGGATCAGAACTAGTTCAGAATCCTGACGTTGCCATTTTGTAGCAATGTGACGACTGCTCCCTCTCTCTTCACCTGTAAGACACAGATGACAACAAGTCATTGGGTTCTTATGAGATGGTGCCCGTGGCACCACACCTGTCCTAGCTTAAGCACCCACCAAATGTGAATAACTGTGGTTATTCCCTGGACCACCTGCAGATGGGTGGGTGGGGGAACCTAAGGAAGGGAGCTCACTATGTTCCAAGGACCCAGCTCTCTGGGGAAGGGCCTAGTGTATGTGCAGAGGATCTGAACTCATTAGAGTTGACTGGGAAATGTTTATTTAAGTCTTGGTTGCCCCTTCAGATCCACTAAACCAGGATCACTGGGGTGGGATCTGGCATCAGTTTTTTAATGTCCACAGGTGATCCTAATCTTAAGCCATTTGAGCCCCTGAGGTGTACTTTTTAATCAATCCCAGGACCAGAGCACATTGTGTTCACACTCCAGCTCATCAGCATTCCCTGTGATTTCTGACTCAGTGGATCTGGGGTATGGAGTCAGAGAAATTGTGTGTGTGTGTGTGTGTGTGTGTGTGTGTGTGTGTTACTGAGGATTGAACCCAGGTGCGCTCTACCGCTGAGCCACATCTATGGTCGTTTTAATTTTTAGATTTTGAAGCAGGGTCTCACTAAGTTGTTGAGACTGGCCTCAGACTTGCAATACTCCTGCCAGACTTCTAACTCACAGGGATCACAGGCTTGCACCACAGCACCCCGCGTGGGGCCCAAGAATTTCTAACAAGGTCCCTATCAATACTGATGCTTCTTCTGAGAAGCACTGCCTAAGCATCAGGTGATTCAAATGTGCAGCAACAGTTGCGAGCTGGCCCAAAGAGAGCTGGGCGCCACTGCGGTAGACTCAGCCACCTGTCCAGCATCTTCTTCCTTGACTGCTTGCTCATGCAGAGAGGTCTGCTGCCCTGCAAGATGATCCTAGGTAGCCCTCCTGCACAGAGGAGGAACTCAAGGGAAGATTAAGGACTCACAGGAATTCAGATGCAGACCTGCCCAACCCCAAACCATAGTTCTTTTCTCTCAGTTGCTTAATGATTGCAGCGCCTCCCATCTGCACTGCTGACCTCTGGGAGCCTGGAAGAATCCCTCCTACTACTAAGAGGGTGCCATTTGCTCTCCTGCCCTATTCCCTGAGTTCCAGAGTCATGACCAAGGTCTGCTGGTCTATGGCTTCTTATGAAGCCTCAGAGCTGGGTGTACCAACATTTTATGGCCACCAGGTGGTGCCCTTGGGCCATGTCTGCCAGGCTGCCTTGCCTGCAGAACCAACCTGAGGGTACTTTGGGATGAGAGTAGGGACAGTGCCTTCAAAAATGCCTAGAGGGTTGCTTGAATGAACCCGCTAGTCTGTCCTCCCTTAGCCGCAGATGCTGAGGCTCAGAGAGGGGCTGGGACGTGCCCCAGGGCATACCATGATGCAGTTTGTCCTGGGAGGCCACCCAGGTCCTATGACTCCCAGCCCAAAATTGTTTCCGAAACTTCAGGTACACTTGAAGGTTGGGACAAGATGAGATTCCCAAAGGCAGGACAGTTCTAAGGGAAATCTCTACCTGAACTTCCTCCTTCAGGCTGTGACTTCATGCCCCGAGGAAGAGAAACCTGGGGAGCCCTCTGCTCCACCTCCCATGGGGGTCACTGAGGTCAGAGTCAGGACCTCAGAGGACAGCAGTTGACTGATTCCACTCACAGGGCGCCTGACCGCCTGTGTTTTACCCACGCAATCACACACAGTCCTCTAGGAGCCCCACGTGGGATAATTTCCCATCTTTATTTTTTTATTTTTTTAAAGATAGAGTGAGAGAGGGAGGGAGAGAGAGAGAGAGAGAGAGAGAGAGAGAGAGAGAGAGAGAGAGAGAGAGAGAGAATTTTTAATATTTATTTTTTATTTCTCGGTGGACACCACATCTTTGTTTGTATGTGGTGCTGAGGATCGAACCCGGGCCGCACGCATGCCAGGCGAGCACGCTACCGCTTGAGCCACATCCCCAGCCCCAATTTCCCATCTTTAGATAAGGAAACCAAGCCCCGCTCAAACCAAGCCCAAACCCAAGCTCAGTCGTCCAGCAGACCAGCTTATGGACAGCCTAGAGTAGCGCCTCAGGAAGCCAACCAGAATCCTCAGGAGCCCAGCTGTTACCTGGTGACCAGGCTCGTCCCTATTCACCTTCCACCCCCACCTCCTCATGCAAAATGGGAATGTTAGCCTAAAAATAGAGCCCAGGGAAGCAGAATCACTTTAAGATCTGCCCTGGCCTGTACACTATCAGGTGAAATCATGCTCCCTGAGGATGCTGCTCCCTCTTGGTTCTGTCCTCTGAAAAGTGCCCATCAAGGTCCACCCAGCCACACAGGGAGGAGGCAGGACTGGGCTCCTCAGAGCTACTTTGTTCTGGGCTCTTCTCCCCCAACCCTTCAGTGTCCCCAGATTAGTTTCCACCTCCCCGAGTCCCACCCCACCCCTCCTTCCCCTCTGCGGCTGGCATCCTGCTCTGGGCCCAGCCCCTCTCTTTCTCTTGCCCCTTTTCTTCCATGCACAGTGCCCCTGTCTTGGGTCCTTTCTCCAGGCTCTAGACCGAGGAGGGGCCATCTCTTCTCTTGGCAGGAAGGCCAGGAGAGTGATTGCTGACCTTGGTCGTAAGAGCCTGTCTCTGGAGGCCATGACAGATCTGGCCTGATGGAGGCATGGGGTCAGAGGTGGTGGTTCCAAGTCCAGGTGAGCTCTATCTGGTTTCCCAGCTGGAGCCAGACAAATGGATGGCTCACGCTGTCTGGTGTTGCCTGAGCCCATAGCAAGCATCAGTGTATTAGGAGACTCTGACCCCCCTCCTCCTGCTCAGTCGGGTGAGAAGGGTGTGTGATCAGCCCCTCTTCTCAAAGGGCACGTGTGTAAATACCTCAGGAGCCAGTTCTGCAAAAAGAAAAAGAAAAAGAAAGAAAAAAAAAAGCAAATAGGATTGTCTGTGCTGTGGAGAACTGGGGGGCCTGCCCTGTTGCAGTGGGCAGTTGCCCTTAAACCCCAATAGATGATGGCCACGCAGAAAGGCTGGCCAGAGGCACATCTTAAGGACCCTGTCTTGCCTATAGGCAACCAGCGTGAGACCTAAGCTGCACTCCAACTCCCAGGTGACACCTGCCTTTTTTTGCCTGGATCCATCAACTTGTGGCCCAGATGTATCCAATGACAAATGTTAATCACCTTAAAAGTGAGCAGGGCACACAGCTGTCATTCCAGGAGTTGGGAGTTTGATGCGGGAGGATTGAAAGATGGAGACCAGCCTCAGCAACTTAGCAAGACCCTATTTCAAAATGGAAAATGAAAAGGGCTGGGGATATGACTCAATGGTAGAGCACCCCTGGGTTCAAACCCGAGTACTGCAAAAATATAAATATAAATATAAAGCCTCCTTGGAGTGCATCTGGGTTTATGGACAGCAGGGTCTGCTCCCCTGAAGTTCCACCCAGGATAAATGTAATCCTACTTTGACGGGATGACCTGTCACATACCTTCAGGTGGTTTTCTGTGCTATTCCTCCCCCCTGAGTCCTTGACTTTAGTTCAAGGTCCCAGATTTCTTCATTGCTTTCTTTGGAGACTCTCCCCAATTCCCTTCTTCCTCACCACCGGTGGACCCACCTCCCAGGCCAACGCCCTGGCTCTCCTGGCCCATCCCCCCCCCCCCCCAACAATTAACCTAACTCCACTGTCAGTGGTTCCTTAACAAATGGGGAAAAGGTGGGAAAGAAAGCAAAAAAACCAAAAAACAGAGTCAGCAGAACTAAGGCAAAGAGCAGCCTCCTCCCTCCAGCCCAGGGCCGGTGGATCCTGCAGCATTGGCAGAATGAGCGAGGGTTCAGGGGACAAGAGCCATCTCTTGCCACCTCACCCTGAAGCATCGAGGAAAATTTGGGGGGTGGCTGGAAATAACCTTGTAAAACTGACCACGGCTGGAACACACCTGAGTCACCTCTGACTCAGACCCAGACTCTCTGGGGCGGAATGAGGCGCCAGGAAAGGCTGCTGGCCCCTCTTAAACCCCTCGTCTCCCTCCTCCTCCTCCCACCCAGCCCCAGTCCCAGTGGAGAAAAGTTCTCCCACTTCAAGGAAAAGATCCTGCAGCATCCCTGTGCTTCCCTGGCCCTGGACTGCTGTGTCTCTGGGCACACGGTTACCCTGCTCCCTCCGGGCCCCCAGCCCCATCCCAGGCCAGCTGCCGAGGGTCTGTCGGCCAGCGAGGTCCCCGTTCCAGGAGCTGCCCTGCTTCCTGTGGGCCCCAAGGCCAAGAGGCTTACTCACAAATGGAACAATTTCTCCTCTATATGGAAAGAACATATGCTCTTCCTGCTGGGGCATGAGAGGGTTTTGAGTAGCTTTGCCCAGACTTGGAGGAAAAGGCAAGCGCTGGCGGGGCCCCAGCACCCTCATTTCAAGTCCTGTGTGTTCCTCGGCAGAGCCGGGAGGCCCCGGCTCCAGGCACAAGGAGGTCCCAGGGAACACGGATGGGGACGCTTGGCTGAGCTGGTCCCCTTTCTCAGGGCTGGGTATCCTCCTGGGCACCACATTGTCCTATGCCACTCCTGGAGTTTAGGGCTGGGACAGGGAATGGGGGAGGGGGTGGATTCAGCTTTCCCCCAGCCTGTCCCAGCCTAGTCCCTGCAGCTGTGTCCCTGAGGAGGGGCTGGAGCAGCTCTGCTTGACTGACCCCCATGCAAGACCCTGGGTCTGGCACAGGAGCTGGGGTGGAAAGGGAGGCTGGGAGGGCCTGAGGGAGGAGAGGATTAAAATAAACTTTTCCCCTGCTGCACTAGGGATGGGGAAAAGGCTGGAATTCTGCAGTGAAGGCTCTTCTGAAATAGGAAACCTCAGGAGCCTGGATTAAGGTGCAGCCAGAGAAAGGGCAGGGCCCACCAGGAGCAGGCTGCAGTCTGGCGGCCCTGGGTTGCTTCCTGGCTGAATGATCCTGAGCCGGAGCCCCTGTGGGCCTCTGGTTCCTGAGCCTTAGATTGGAGCTAATACTCCCTGTCCTCAGGGATTAATGGGAGGGTCAGAAACAATGATGCCAAATGCTGGGGCCCCTGGAGACTCAACAAAGGGGGGCTCTGAGCAAAGACACAACAGGGTTTGCTCTGGGTGGGAGGCCGGCTGCTGGTGAGGGAGGCCGAGTCAGGAGCCTGGAACCATTTGGCATAGGCTGGCTGTTTCTTGGCCTTCCAGGAGGGTAACACCCTGTCAAATTCCCCCCAGGCTGTAATTAGAAGACACATTTCACCCAACAATTGTGTGTCCTGGTGTGTGGTGAGGGACCCAGCACCGAGAAAACAATCAAGTTTGTAGTTCTCTTAGAAAACCTATTGAACTTCCCTTCTGTTTTAACTTACTGGTCCAGAGGTTCAGTTATGAACCAAAAAGAATCTGGTTCTCTGGGCAGATTTCTCTCTTTTTTTAAATATTGCTTTTTAGTTGTTGTTGGACACAACATATTTATTTTATTTTTATGTGGTGCTGAGGATTGAACCCAGGACCTTGCACGTGCTAGGCGAGCACTCTACCACTGAGCCACAACTCCAAGCCCCCCCACTCTGGCAGATTTCTCCAAAAAATAAAAAAAGAAAAAGAAAAAGAAAAACTGTTGGACCTCAGGCAAGTTGGTCTATCTCTCTGAGTCCAACTCAGGCAAGCTGAATGTCTGAGAGCTTCCCACCTTCTCCTCCCCACCACCACCAAATGGGGACATTAATGGTCACTTCAGAGGGTGACTGTGGAAATGAGCTGACTTCATACAGTGCCTGTCACATAGCAGGCACACAAAGTAAAACGGCCATAGGTGTTATTATTTATTCCATGATTTTTGGAGCTCTAGTTACACATGGTAGTGGGATTTATTATTACATGCACATGATATAACAATAGAATTTGTTTGACATCATTCCCTACCCCCTCCCTCCTACTCTCTTTTCCTCTACTGGTCTCCCTTCAATTTTCATGAGATCCATTCCCCATCTTTCTTTTCCTTTTTCCTCTCTAGCTTCCAACATATGAGAGAGAAGACCCTTGGCTTTCTGAATTTAGCTTATTTCACTTATTAACATAATGATCCCAAGTCCCATCCATTTTCCTGCAAATGACACAATTTCATTCTTTTTTTTTGACATTTTTTTTTGTTGTTGTTGTAGTTGGACACAATACCTTTATTTTATTTATTTATTTTTATGTGGTGCTGAGGATGGAACCCAGGGCCTCGTACATGCTAGGCGAGCGCTGTACCGCTGAGCCACAAACCCAGCCCTCATTCTTCTTTATGGCTGAGGAAAACTCCATTGTGTCCATACACCACATTTTCTTTATCCATTCATCCATTGAAACACACCTAGGCTGGTTCCACAGTGTGGCTCTTGGGAATTGTGCTGAGATAAACATGCTTTTATCACTGAAGTTTGATGACTTTAATTCTTCAGGATAAATACCGAGGAGTGGTATAGCGGGGTCATACAGTGGTTCCATGCCTGATCTTTTGCAGAACCTCCATACTTATTTCCATGGTGGTTGTACTAACTTACCGTCCCACCCACAGTGTGTTCATGGCACCATCACTGATGCTGTTTTGCACTGCTGCAGCTGCTCTGGGCCCTGGGGAGGAGGAGGAGGAAGAAGAGCTGCTGATCCATTCTGCTCAGGCACCTCTGGGCCCCAGGTGAACTGCCTTGCACCCACAGTCCTATGGACAAGGTTTCTTGCGTCTCCTCTGCTCTCCTGTGACATGGAGGGTTGGAGCGCTACACCATCATCTCACTCTCTCCCGCCTGTATCCCTGGCCCTGGTGCTCCACCAATGAGTGGATGAAGAGGGAGAGATGGATGGAGTGATGGAGGGAAGGCAGGAAGGAGGGATGAACTCATTCCTACCTAGAATTGGGCTAACAGGTCTTGGGTTTGATCCAAACATTTGTTCTCCTTAAATTTTTCCCCATCTAACCAAGTTCTTTTTCTTCTCATGTTCATGTGCACACATCAGCATAGGCACAAATGACGCACTGGTCAACCTTTATCAAGGGCTTACTATGCACCACCTCTAGATCTAAATGTTGTATATGTCTTATCCCATGTATACTAGGGACTGTGGTTATGCTCATTGTATGAATAGGGAAGCTGAGGCACAGAGAGGTTAATCAACTTGTCTAAAGTCATGCAGGGATTAAATGGAATATTCAGGATTTTAATTGATATTGAGACAGAGGACACATAAGGGATTCCTCACCTATGTCAGGGAACTGACAAATTAAACCCTTTTCCCTCTAGAGCACCTCAAGTCCCCATTCTGGCTTTAAGACAAAAGTATCCCAGGCCAGTGACAGCCAAGCCAATGATAGATAGATAGATAGGGGTCTTGGCTTTCAGCACCAGACAGTAAAAAAAATGGAATGTAGCCAATATTTTTGGCACCTGTGCCTACTATGCGTAAGGCAGGCTGCAGCATCTCTAATCTTAAAAGAAAACTATGGTTCCTACAACCTCCCAGCTGTCACCCTACTCCTCCCCTTTCTCCACTATGCGCCCTAACACAATCTACACCCAGCCTCTCCATTGTCTTGCCTTGGTCCACTCTAAACCACAGCTCTGCTCCTCAGTCCACCCTTTCCTGCAACTCTGCTCACCAGTAAGCTCCAAATGGGCTGTACATTTAAGTCCCCATCTGTCAACACAATTCACCAGGGCAGGAAACTCTTCTCCAGAGTTATTGTCCTCCTACTGTCTTGCTTCTCTCTCCCCTGCCTCTCCTGCATCCTCTGAGCATTGCAGCTCTTTAGGGCTTGGGCCTGGACTGCCTCTTCTCTGAGCAGCCTCCCTCCAAATAGCTTTATGATTGCACTCAGTCAATGAATATTTATTGTATGTGTGCTATGCACCAGGTACTGTTCTAAGCACTGGAGAGGATAGAAAACAAAACCCACAAGTCTCTCATGGTGATATAAAGTATGCAAATAAATATAGATCATACTGGATAGATAGTATGAGTAAAGCAGATAAAGAAAGAGAGAAAGATCTACACTGGGCATGGAGGTGCACACCTATAATCCCAGCCACTTGGGAGGCTGAGGCAGGAGGATTGCAAGTTCAAAGGACCTTGTCTCAAAACAAAACAAACAAACAAAAAAGCTGGGGACATAACAGAGTCTCTCTGTGTTCAATCCCAATACTGTAAAAATAAAAGAGAGGGAGGGAAAGAGAGAAAGGCTCTTTCAGATGTGTGAACATGATGGACAGGTGAGGAGATGCCTGAGTCCCCTCTCCCACCAGTGCTCTGATCCTTCCTTCTCTTCCCCACTCAGGGGCATCACCTCCACGGATACTCGTCTCCATCTCTAGAGCCTCCTCCTCTGTGTAGGTCCAGCATGTGTCTGGCCTGGACTCCTGCCATGACCTTTTAAGGGATTTCTCTATTTCCATTCTTGCCTGTTTCCGCCCATCCTCTGCACTGGAGCCAGACTACTTTTTATTTTTTAAACATGCGTGGCATTGCATCATCCACCTGTCTAAAATGCTTTGTGGAAATGCTGTTACTGTCTCATTCAAACCCTTCAGGTTGCGGGGGTGCCAATTGCCAACACCTGCATCTTTTTGTCTGAGGGTTTTCTCTGGTTTCCCTTCTTCTCCACCCAGGAGCAGTCCCCAGCCAATGACTAACCATAGGTGGTGGATCAGTCCTCCAGCTCCCTCAGCCCTTGGGTGGGGCAGTCTGGACATATATGTACTGAGTGGCTCCCCAGTGGGACTGAGCTTGAGTTACAGGCGACCATAATGGTGTGATGGCTTGGTTTGATGACTGGCTTTTCTGTGGTTCTTTTTACTTCCCACACTTCCCTCTATGGCTCCAACACATGCCCCAAAGTGCAGGCCTTGGAAACAGACAACACAATGCAGTGGTGCTGGGGTGGGGGGTCTTTAATAGGTGATGAGGCTGTGAGGCCTCTGCCATCAATCAGATTGACGCCATTCTCCTGGGGGTGGCTTTGTTGTTGCTGGGCATCCTGAGAGATGGACAGGTTCAGCCTCCTTCCCTCTCTCTTGCTCTTGCACTCCTGCCTTTCTGCCTTTTGCCATGGGATGATGCGGCAAGGAGGCCCTCACCAGATGCTAACGTGATGACTTCGGAGACTGGGTGACCTCTCAGCCTCCACAAATGTGAGGAAATAAATTTCTGTTCTTTGTCAATCACCGTGTCTGTGGTGTTCTGTGAGAGCAGCATAAAACAGTCTATGGTGCTTCCCCATCCCCTTACTGCTGTTTCCAGGGACTATTTTTCAAATAAATCATTTCCACTCAGATTCTTGTCCCAAAGAATCCAAACTAAGACCTTTTACTTCTCTTTGGTCACTTGGGACACACAGAAAACTCTGAAACCTGGTCCACATGACTCTGCAAGCTCAGAACACTTTCTACCTCTCTACCTTCATTGCCTCCCTCTCTGCAGCCACTGAGAACTCCGTCCAAGTCCTCTTTGTCATCTCAGAGCCTTTGCAAAATGGGATTTCCACTGCCTGAAATGTTCTTCCCCCAACTTTTCACTTGCTTAGATCATTCTTTAGGTAAATTGTTCAAAGAGGCCTTTCCGGACCACAGGTTGAAATGACATAGTTATTTGTTGGTGACGATAGGGACTAAGTGTGTTTTCTTCACCTCTTTATCCTCCAGGACACCTACCCAGATGGTATCAGGCGGAGTAAACAAGTCAAAGGAATGAAAATGATTGAGCTATGAATAACCCTGTTGTTGATGGGAGAACCTAGTCCTGAAATGGTATTACTCTAGAACTTTCTTCTAATAGTGTTTCATGTTCCTCTATCTCCAACCTTTCTCTGCAGCATTTTTATAAACATGATCAAATCTTGCTTGCCTTAAAAAATAAAGCAAATAAAAATCATCTCCTACCCAGCATAAGTTGTTAAAAGGATGGGGATTGAATAATCACCTGGAGGGAACTTCGGATTTCAGAAAAGATGGCAGACTGACATGAGGTCCTACAATTTTCCTCAGATTCCAATCCTAGTTGGTATCTCAGGAGAGACAAGAAGGTTAATGGATTTTAAAACTGTACTTAGCAGCTAACTTCCACACTGAGATATCCCTGGTAAGACCAAAGGAGAGTGGGTCCCAATGTGTGAAGTCTAGAGGGACAATGAAAATAGGCTGAGAGGACTTTCAAGGGTTTCCTTCTTTTTCTTTCTTTTAATTTTTGAGGCAGGGTCTCACTAAGTTGCTTAAGGTTTTGCTATATTGCTAATTCTTGCCTTGAATGTGATCTTCCTGTCTCAGTCTCCTGAGCTGCTGGGATTACAGACATGTGCCACTGCACCCAGCCAGTAGTGTCCTTCTTCTTTCTACACCCTGGGTGCATCGCTGCTCATCCACCTCATAATTGTAAGAAGGCAGGAAAACAGAGTAGCCAGAGAGAACTCCACCCTCAGAACTCCACCTGGGCAGGGACCCTCTACAAAGAGGAGAGGATGGCTGAAGCTCATTGGGCAAAAATTTATCCTAGACTCAAGAATTGCTGGAGAGAAAAGGTGTGGAAATGAGGGGACAGGGAGTAATGGAACCCAGTAATGCTAGAGACTCCATTCTCAGGTGTGCCCCCTCCTGGCTCACCTGAAGTGCTGTGTGCTGGGGACTGGGCTTGTGCTCTGTCCACAGAAAGACACACTCAGCCAAGGTGCTGATGCTTCCCAAGAACATAAAAGATGAATTTGCAGGGAGAAACCCTGAGATCCCTGAGGAGCATGAGCCCAGAAGGTAATAAGGAAAATAGTCTTTACCAGAAAAATAGAACTAATGCAAAGACTAAATGGGAAATCTAAATAATCATTATATAAACTTAGAGATAAGAGGGTTACAGAACATGTGAATCATGAGCAATTAATTACAGATAACCAATTGGAGATATTTAGTATAAAATAAAATTTTTACAATAAAGAGCTCAGGATGAATTGAGTAGCAGAGAGAATACAGGTGAAAGAGAAATTTCTGAGCTGATGGACTTGGTTGAGCACTGACCAAAAGATATCAGGAAGGACGAGATAAACATGAAAGGCAGGTTGTCAAATAAGGGAGAATAAGAAGGTTGGTCCTGATCTATGGTAGCAGGCTTCACAGGTGGCCCTCAATGATCCCTGTTCCTTAGTATTCACCTCCTTGTATAGAAATTGTCCCCCTTCCAAATGAACAGTTCTGACCTGTATAACCAATGTGATATTGAAGAACAGACAGTTTCCAAGTTTAGGTAATAAAGTCATTGTGGTTTTCTTCTTATTCTCTGGGACAACCTTCCAGGGGAAAGCCAGCTGCTGTTGTGAGGACCCTCAACTAACCTTATGAACTGTTCCCAGCCAAAAGCCAGCCCTCAATTTCTGACCTAAAAAACTAGTAAGAGATAATAAAGACTTAATTCTTTTTTTGTGTGTGTAAATAGTGATGCATTTTATTAATGATTCTGTGATAACTAAAGATCACATCCTGGAAAAGATGTAAAATGATGTTACATTTTTCTATACCCCTAATGATGGTTAAGTTTTGAAATTGGCAAAGTTTTGAAATTATATAATCATTGATGTATTCTGAATCCATAATGATGAGAAAAATTGCAATAAAAGATGACCCAGAGAAAGCTGCATTAGAGCTCTCTCTCTGGACATTGCTCCAACAGAATGACTCCTGTCTCACCCTTTTCGCAGAGGCCATTCATCCTTCAGGACTCCCTGGACCCTGCTAGGGCAGGACCCCAGCACTTCGTCCCTTTCAATGGGAGCCCAGGAGGCCCTCACTTTGCACCTGGCTGTTGGCTGGTGGCGAAGGCCTGCTGTCTGTGAGGGGCGCTGGTCTTCGGGGTCCTGGGTCAGCAGCTCCTGCAACGCCTCAAACAGCTGAATGTTGAGCAGGAACGCGGTCTTGGCCTCTTTGACGACCCTCTGCCTGACCTCGGGGGTCATCTCCAGAGTGTGCAGGCGTGAGCGGTAGAGCTGCTTGAACTTGGGGACGCTGGCGATGTTGGGGAAGGTGAAGAAGGCCAGGCTCTCTCCGGAGCTGGGCAGGTCCAGGGCCTTCTGCGCGATCTTCTTGAGGCCCTGGCCCCTGGACGGGTCGCCCAGGTAGCGAGTGTGGGCGTGGGCCACCAGCAGCTCGGGCTCCCTGCACCCCACCTGCTGGAGCCCCCACGTAGCGGTGCGTGGCTGCCGTGTAGGGGACAGCCTCCTGCCAGCGCGGCCCTTACCAGAAGGCCATGTCCTGCTCCAGTGCGGCCCTGCGGTGCAGTTCCTCGGGAAGTAGAGGGGGGGAAGACAGGGTTGTCCTTGTTGCGCTCCATCTCCTCCTCCAGGGCCACATAGACATAGTACGGGGATGCCATCACCAGCTTGAAGCCCTTTTGGGTCACCTGGCCCTTCTGGAAATTCCTCCTGAACTCCGCATTCTCTTCCTGGGTGGCCTCCTTCAAGGCCTCGGACTCATACTGGGGCAAGCGTCGGCTGTGGGCAGTCCATGGCCAGTGTTGGCTGGCTGGCACAGGTGGCTCTGATGGCCCTCTGAGGAGCAGGCAGAGACTGTGCGAGACTTAATTCTATGTTAAGCCTTAAGTTTTTAAAAACTTAATTTATAATTTATATATTTTTAAAATTAGCGTCCCATTCTTGGGGTTGAACACGATGTGGAGTTACACTGGTTGTATATTCATATATGAATATAGGAAAGTTATGTCAGATTCATTCTACTGTCTTTCCTGAACCCATGTCCCCTCCCTTATACCATTAAGTTTTAAGGTAACTTTTTATGCAACAATAGATAAGTAATATACCATTCATATGCCAGGAATCCCAAAAGACTAAACAGAATAAAGAAATGTTTGAAAAAAAATAAGGACCTAGAGTTTTCCAGAACACAAAAGAATGAGAGCGAATATGGAAAGAATTCATTGCATTCCCAACTAAGTATGCAAGTAAGAATTCACACCTAGACACATTTCAGTGGAATATTTAAAATTTTCAAAGTAAAAAAAAAATAAATAAAGATCTATCTATAAAGCTTCCAGAGAGGAAAAGTTCAATAGCAAAGAAATAAAAACGAGATGGATATCCAACCTAGCAACAGAGATGTAGACCGCAAGAAAATGGAATAATATCTTCAAAGAGTAAAAGGAAAATAGTTTTCATTTAAAATGCAAGGATGATCACACTGGAAAAAAGCAGTTTCTTTAGAAACTTAACATGCAACTAGTACACAACCCAGCAATTGCATTATTGGGCATTTAACTCAGAAACAAAAGCACTCGTTCACATGAAACCTGGACATGAATGTTGTTTTTGTTTATTTTTTTAGGTGTAGATGGACACAACACAATGCCTTTATTTTTTTATGTGGTGCTGAGGATCGAACCTGAGTCCTGCCTGTGTAGGGCGAGTACTCTACCGCTGAGCCACAATCCCAGCCCTGGACATGAATGTTTGTAGCAGCTTTACTCATAATAGTGTTGAACTGGAAGCAACCTGGATATCTTCCAATGACTGAACAGTTGGGTTCAGTGCAATGTGTCCAGGCCATGAACTTCTACTCAGAAGAGAAAGGGACAAACTGCTGGTATCCTCAACACTTGGATGAATCTCCAGAGAATTATGTCCAGTGAAAAAGCAAACTCCAACTGGTACACACAGTATGATTCCGTTTATAAAACTGTCTGGAAATGATAAAATTACAAAAATGGAGAACAGTCTCATAATTGCCAAGGGTTAGGTCTGGGGAGAGGAGATCGCGGGGGAAGGCATGGCATTCTGGATAGAATACCACACAACTTGCCCACTGTTTCCAGAAGCCAATCTCTCAGCCTCCTGCCATGATGTTAAAGGATTTCTCTGAAGAAACTGACTAAGCCAAGGACAAAGACCCACAGATAATGTCATCTGGGAGACCTGTAATGGCTTAAATGTCCGCCCAAAGCTCTGTGTGCTAAAGGTTTGATCACCAGCCTGTGGTGTTCTGGGAAGAAGTAGAATATTTAGGAGATAGGGCCTAGTGGGAAGTTAGGTCACGTGGGTCACGTCCTTGAAAGGGACATTGTGACTTTGGCCCCTTTCTCTTTCTTTTTGCTTCCTGGCTGCCATGAGGTGAACAGACCCTCTCCACCACAGACTCCTGCCATGATATATTGTGCTGCCACAGGCGCAAAGTGACAGGGCCAAGCCACCATGGACTGAGATCTCTGAAACCATGAGCTAAAATAAATACTTCCTCTTTAAAGTTGATTATCTCAGGATTTTGGTCACCATGACATAAAGCTGATTAATACACTTCCAGATAAACCATCACTCTCCAGGGAGGCCCACAGTCAACAAACCGGTACCACACTAAGAAAGCTCTTCCAGTTGGGCTCGCAAGTGCTTCACTCTCCAATATGAACAGTCAGAAAAGGGTCAGCAGGTCTTTGAGGAACATTTCTACCTGACAGTTATATAATGGGTGAAAGCCAAGAAGGAAGAGATGCAATGTGGGGAGAAATTAAAGAAAAAGAAAAAGCATGTAATTAGGAGTCTCGGAAAATCAACAAAAGATACCACACCCAAAAGGTAAGGAAGACTATTTAGAATAGAATCTTTAAGTAACAACAAAAATGTTTTTCACAATTAAAGATTGTACAGCATAAATTTTAAATTCAATGAAAATATTAGAATATCGAATTTTGTAAATCTTCCACAAAACAGGCCAAAAAATTAGGCATAGAAAGGAGGCTCTAAGAAATTTCATATGTAACTAATAGGAGTTCTAGAAAGATAGAAGAAATGAAAAAAGAAGAAGAAAAAAATCTCTCAGAATTGAAGGGTATGATGGTCACCTAAGACAAAGGGCCTGTGAGATGCTCAGCAGGGTGACTAAAGGAAGACCCACCCCAAGGCACA